ATACAGAAGAATATTTTCATGACCTTGGATAGAAGTCATGTTCTTAATGGGGGTGAGAAAGAAGAGACATAAATTATAAAGCAAAAGATTCGTAAATCCATCTATACTAAAATGAAGAATTTCCACATCAAAAGAAACCATAGAGAAAATGAAAAAGTAAGCCAGAATGGAAGAGGATATTTGTAACACACATAACCAACAAAAGTTGAGATTCTTGGGTAAATAAAGAACTCCGATAAATCAATAAAAAATAATAGGCAAAAAGTTGTGGTATATAGTCATACAATGAAAACAAAAACACCAACTGGGCACAGTGGCTCACGCCTGTAATCCCAGTACATTGGGAGGCCAAGGCAGGCGGATCACCTGGGGTCAGGAGTTCGAGACCAGCCTGGGCAACATGGCAAAATCCCATCTCTGCTAAACATACAAAACTTAGGCATGGTAGCGCACACCTATAGTCCCATCTACTTGGGAGGCTGACGCAGGAGAATCACTTGAATATGGGAGGCGGAGGTTGCAGTGAACCGAGATCGCACCAGGACACTCTAGCCTGGGTAACAGAACAAGACTCTGTCTTTAAAAAACAAACAGAAACCCTAGCTACATGTAACAATATAAATAAATCTTACAAACTTAACTGTTGAGTGAAAAAAAGCACCTGTACTAAAGTGAGATATTAGTATAAACAACATTGTCAGTAGGCTTTATTCTGCCTTCTTCCCCCTACCCAAGCTATCCTTCCACCAGGGTGACTATCCTTGATTTGCCTGGGACTGAGTAGTTTCCACGAATGGAAACTTTCAGTTCTTGTTTGTTTTTGTTTCCTGAGGCAGAGTCTCGCTCTGTCTCCCAGGCTGGAGTACAGTGGCGTGATCTGGGCTTACTGCACCCTCTAGCTCCCAGGTTCAAGCAATCCTCCTATCGCAGCCTCCCGAGTAGCTGGAAATATAGGCACCAGCCACCATGCCCAGCTAAATTTTTCTATTTTTAGTAGAGACAGGGTTTCACCATGTTGGCCAGGCTAGAATTTTCAGTTTTAAAAGCAGAAACAGTCCTGGGAAACTGGGAAGAGGTGGTCACCCAATCTCGTCTGCCTATTCCCCCCAGCCTCCACTTCTTGCCCTTGGCTAGCACTAACTAGCACTAACACAGTGGCACTAACACGTCAATCTTAATTGTGCAGATAAAATGAAGAATACGAAATCAATAACACAAAGAAAAAAACAAGAAACAAAAATGAAGTTGATCATAAATGCCAGGCTGTATAAATCAACCATGAAATCCTTGAAGCTACTGAGGAAACCCACAATGGAAACTAAGTCTTACATGTTAGTCTGTGGAAATCTCCATGTTTATCTCATGGGTTTTCATCTGATCTGCTAAAAGGGACAAATTAGCAAAAGGAACTATTTCTTAGAATGTAACAATCAGTGTCGGAGTGTGATTTCTCTCTTAATTACATGGGAGTTTGCAAATTGCATCATCCTTTTGAACCAGCAGCATCAGTATCACCTGGGAATGTGTTAAAAATGAAAATTCTCAGGCCCCATCCCAGTCCAAGTGACCAGATACTGAGTGTGTACAAGGCCTGATACATGTGGCAAAAGGTTGAGAACCACTGGATTAGCGTACCCATATCCTCTCTTCCTTATTTGTGAGGGGCATTTGGTGGATTAGTAAGACACTCCAAGAATTCAGGTGTCGTGTTTCATATTACCACCACTTTCATATTGGTGCTAATATGTTTTTTCATATTATCACCACTTTTTGTCAGGTCAGGCAATTATTTGGATACCACTATCAACAGTAAATATTTCACATCATACCAGATTTACGACACCTTACCATCGGCGCATGAAACCCAAACAATGGAATACTTTCTGCTCCTCATTTACTTTCCTATGTCTGCTTATTAATCTCATGAATCATGAACTGCTACAGAATTAACTGTCGCTGGCCCCGCACAGTGGCTCATGCCTGTAATTCCAGCACTTTGGGAGGCCGAGGTGGGAGGAGTTCAAGGCCACCCTGGCCAACATGGTGAAACCCCATCTCCACTAAAAATACAAAAATTAGCCAGGCACAGTGGTGTGTACTTGTAATCACAGCTACTCAGGAGACTGAGGCATAAGAATCACTTGAACCTGGGAGGTGGAGGTTGCAGTGAGCTATGACCATGCCACTACACTTCAGCCTGGGCGACAAAGCGAGACTGCCTAAAAAAAAAAAAAGAATTAACCTTCACTGAATTGACCTCAGTACATGATTGCCTATAATTCTGCCAAAAAAATTATCTTAGTACCATGTTGAAGATATTTTATTATTTTAAAAGCTGGGAAACATAACAAATACATTTTATAAAGAAGGTGAGCACCAGATCAATTATCATCCTTTGTTGTAAGATGAAATTGTGATTAATCAAACCCAATTTTCTTAATATAATTTTAAAAATACATACACTTATTTACTAAGGATGCCCTACAAAGACTGTCCTGTGCTCAGAACCTGCCTGGGGCTCTTGGCCTTTTAATGAAAAGAACTCATTCCAGACATTTCATAATCTCAAGTCATTACTTGCTTGCTGTTGGGTTGATAAAACACAAGATGATTCCACTCACTTGATTTTAAAAAGGTAAAACTAAACAATATTTTATAGGGATACATATGTGTAGGGTAAAACTGTACAGAAAAAAAAAAGGAAATAATCACAAAGGTTAAACAAAATGGTAACCTCTAGGGAAGAGAGGAGGCTAAATCAGGCAGGGATGGGACTCCATTTCTAAGGAACTGACTATATAGTATTTCTTGACTTGAGCATGAGTTACAAGAGTTTTTAACTTTATAGTTTACAAATTTTGTATGTTTTTTTGTATGTATGTTGTAAAAATAAATAAATGGAATTACACAACCACTCCAAAATTTAGCAGGCAGAAAAGGAAGAGTTCACAGGCTACCTTAAGTCCATAAACCCCAGGTTTATGGTTATCAGGCTATGTGAGACCAAAGAAAAGGAAAATCTTTAGACCGTAAAATGGTAAGGGAAGGATGGAGCATTGAGACCAGAAAAAGTGAAAAACTAAAAAGGTGATGAGAAAAAAAACATGAAGCTTCTGTCAATTCATACCCTCTCACTTGGAAGAAAGCAACATCTAGCACAGATATAACTAACAAATGCCCAAGCTTGGTAAGGAATGTGTTGGTGTCTGAAAAGCATGTTAAACAAGGTTTAACAAGGGGAAGTGGAGCTCAGCTTGTAAAGAAATGTAACTATTAAATAATTTATTCCAAAAGAAATAAATCCAAAAATTACAAATTTAACCCTCTTACCCATTCCATAACATCATTGTCCTCACACCCTTTAATGAAAAAAGGGCACATAAATGGTTAGAAAACTATGAACGCCAATTACTGAATGCAAAAAGTACACAATGCCATGTCTCGGCAAAATATTATCAAAGAACCTAGAAAAGCCTTTGCCAGCCTTGGGAAATTAGGGAACTGGTGAAAACTAATTACAAAATGCCATTTCTACCAGCCGTGGAATAAATGCAAATATTGCAACTAAATGATAAACACACATCTGGATCACAACTAGTCTGAACTTCAAAATAGTTCTTCACTGTACAGTCTCTTGTGCGAGTGACGCTTTCTGCTGAAGGTAACAGGAATCCAAGGTGGCCTACCCTATTTAAAACCATAGGTCAATGACGGTGTATCTTTGTAAAGTTTTTTCATTGTATTCTCGCAAGAAATCTTCACTTATACCCACCAACTATTCATTATTTCACTAGGTCTGGGTTCACACTGAACAAAACTACCAATTATGCTCAAAACTGGTGTTCATACAGACAGCCAAATGTCTTACTTTGATGAGAAGCTGTAGTAATGAGCATGGAGAATTATTTTTATGGTTCCAAGATTCTACCAAGGGCATCAAATGGACCATTTCTTCAAGATGTTCTTCGCAAATTTTCCTTTCATCCTACTTTCTATTTGTTCCGCCCAGATACACTATCTTCCCTATTTTTCCAACTTTCTCTTAGTGGTTAAAGGAGTCACACAGAAAAGCTTCTCCACTTCACTCTATTCCACTTCCTAACAAGGCTCTCAGTGAATCGTTCTCGAACTCTTTCACTTCCCTATCTCCCTGCTGTTGCCGGTCCCCCTAGGTTTGTTCTTTCCTCTGGCTTTCAGATAACTCGGATTACCCGGTTAGAATCAAAGGCCAAAGAATTTCCTCTCTATTATGTTTGATTGAAAAGCCGCCCGGGAAGAGGGAAGGGGTGTGGATCTATACTTATTCTGTCTTCCATTACTGCGCCAAACTATTTGATCCGTGCCGCTTTTATGTACCCAAAATACAGTATCATAAAAGTAATTATAGGCCCGGAAATGATTCTCAGCCCAAATGAATGGCCTTTTCGGATGCTACGTTCTGGACTTCTGTTTGTGTGGGGGAGGGTCTCACAAATAACGAAAACAAGTCCTATCGAAAACTGGTGAGCTCAGCGGCTGGGGGAGAAGGGGGGGGGTGTCACAGGTCCGAAGTTCAAGGGACGCCGAAACAAGATTTGACTCAGTTATGAGCACGTGCTCTGACCCGGCTGCGGCGGCGCCGGCAAACCCCTCGGGAGGAGTCGTGGTCCACCGAGATGGCCACTGGCTTCTGACTCACCCAGAGAGAAGTCATCACCCAGGCCACAAGTCCCAAGCCGGCAGCTCCTGGATTTAGTGTGCACTGAAAATTTGGAGTTTCAGCTGCACGACCACTAGCAGTCAGAGACAGGTCTGAATATTCCTCGGGGCTTGGCCGGAAAGTGGGGATGGCGATGGAAAGGCCACCCTCCCCGTCTCTGGCCTCGCCTCCGAGAGTTAAAGGTGCCGGTCCCATCCCGGCGCCGGAATGAGCTGCCGCCGTCCGGGGTAGGACCCGCGCGGCCCCAGAGCCCACAGCCCAGGGTCCCCGCCGCCCGGTTCCCCGAGCCCGCGCCTCTCACCTGCGGCCGAATGGCCCGAGAGCGCACGGCCCCGGGCGCGGCGCTGGCCACCAAGCTCGCGGCGCTCGCGCAGCTCTTCTTCTTCGTCCTCCCGCCGCCTGCCCTCAGCCATGGGCGAGGCGCGGGGCGCAGCCGCTGGATAGCCGGCGAGCTGCGGCCCCGGCGCCCCAGAACTCGGGCCGCGGCGACCCGGGCCACCACCTTCGGGCAGGGGGGAAGGCGGCTCCCGCAGAGGAGGCGTAGGCGGCGGCTGTGGAAATGGCCACCTCCGCGAACTCCACCTGCAGCCGGCTGGGCAGCGGCTGGGCGCTGGCAGAGCCGACTCCCCGCCTCTTTGTGGCGGCCCGGCGGCCTCTAAATCCCTGGCCTTTCCCACTCCACTCGGCTGTCTTCCCCCTTCCTCTTTCCCTTCCCCGCCCCGCAGAGCTCCACCGCGGATCGGGCGGGTTCAGGCCCTGCCTCGCCTCCTTGGGGAGGGGTTACCGGCCCCTAAGGCCGCCCCACAGCCACACACGCTGGAAACGCCCGCTCGACCCAAACAAACGTGTGCAAAATAAATAAACGGGATAGGAAGAGGACAAAGAGGAGGTGGCCTGGCCTTTTCCTGCCCTTTCACGATATTCCAGTGTCAACAGGAAACATATTTGTTTGACACTTAAGCAAAAAGAGGAGGAACCTGACCCGGGCCGCACTGGGAGAGATGGGACAGCCGGGAGCTGCTGAACTTCGGGACAAACTCGGCTTGGGAGTTGGGTCGAGCCTCTGCGATCCACACTTTTTTCTTTCCTTCTCTTTTCGCCCTTAAAAATCTAGCCTTGATGGAGTGCAGAGGATTTTTGAGGCAGTGAAACTACTATGTGTATGATACTGTAATGGTGGATGCATTTGTCGAAGCCCACAGAATGTACAAAACCAAGAGCGAACGCCAGTGTAAACTATAGACTAGGTAATTACGAGGTGTCCGTGTGGGTTCATCAGTTGTAGCAACTGTGGCATTCTGGTGGGGGATGTTGATAATGGGGGAGGCTATGCATGTGTGGGAGAGCGGGTACATCGGAAATCTCTGTACTTTCAGCTCAATTTTGCTGTGAACCTAAAACTGCTCTTAAAAATAGTTTACTCAAATTTTTTAATTATAAATCAAGCCTCACTGTATTCTAGTTCATTTGGGGCTAGGATATGGCTACAGTTCCTAGAACAGGAAGAAAATGTGTTAAGGAGACCCATACGTGATTAATTGTATAGAGGCAATTAGGGGAAGTGGAGAGAGCACTGAGTGGGTCTGGAGTCAGAAACTAATTTGAAGCATTTAGCTGTGTGAGCTGCCCCTAAGAAAGTTTTTGAAAGCTGGAAAGAACTGCATAACAAAAGTTGTGTGTACCTGTACAATACACATCTTAGGTTCAATAGGTGCACGTACATACTTTCACACAGAGAGGAACAGATTCTGAAATTTCACCGAAAGATAACTAAGTAGCAGGCAGAAATATTACCTGGACATGAAACCTTAGGAAACTCTTGAGTGGGATGAGCAGGCCTTTATCTTTAGCGTTTTGCTCTATTTCTGAGAGATTGTGAGAGTTCCTAATGTTCAGCAGGTAGGAGAGAAAAAGAACGGGAGAAAAGCGTCACTGAAAATAGAATTGTCTGCCACACCTGAGTGCTGTTTCGTTGCCTTTTCAATAGTAGCTGTGGCCGCCTGAGAAAATCTTTCCACTTTTAAGCAGATAAGAACCACAATCGATTCTGTGAAATTGAGGTCAAATCCACAAGTTAAAACTTTATTACTGAATAAGTGATTAAATAAGTAGACACTTAGAGAACTGGAAATTAAGCTCACAACAACAAAACAAAGGTTCTGGACCTTTAGGGTTAAGTGTTTGGGTTCACTTTAAGTGAAAGCTTATTTGTCACTTCCCTTCAAGGATGAATAATTTAGAAACCCCTACCTTGACCAACAAACAGTACAACTTCATTGAGCCATTGGAGTCAGTCTCTACTATCAAGTCTTAATTTGGGTTTTTTTTTGTTTTGTTTTGTTTTTTAGGTGAAGTCTCAGTCTGTTACCCAGGCTGTAGTGCAGTGGCATGATCAAAGCTCACTGCAACCTCTGCCTCCCAACAGGAAACCCATTTATTCTAAAAAAAAACAAAAATTAGCCGGGCGTGTGGCATGCGCCTGTAATCTCAGCTACCCAGGAGACTGAGGCAGCAGAATCGCTGTAACCTGGGAAGCAGAGGTTGCAGTGAGCCTAGATTGTGCCACTGCACTCCTAGGTTCAAGGGATTCTCCTGCCTCAGCCTCTTGAGCAGCTGGGATTACAGGCACACACCGCTACACCCGGCTAATTTTTGTATTTTTAGTAGAGATGGGGTTTTACCATGTTGGCCAGGCTGATCTTGAACTCTTAACCTTAGGTGATCCACCTACCTTGGCCTTGCAAAGTGCTAGGATTACAGCCACCACACCTGGCTTAATTGGATTTTTAAACAACTATTGTTGTTTTTTTGTATGTTCTGAATATAAACTCTTTATTGGACATATGATTTGAAAGTATTTTCTCCCCTTCTGTCTTTTCACTTTATTAATCTTGTCCTTTGAAGCACAAAAATTTTAAATTTTGCAAAGTTCAATTTATTTTTTCTTCTGATATTTATGTATTTTGGTATCATATCTAAAAAATTATTTTTTAAATCCTGGTCACAGAGATTTAATCTCATGTTTTCTTTGAAGAGTTTTATAGTTCTAGTTCTTACATTTAGGTCTATGATCCAAAATTTTTGCATATGGAGAGAGATAGGGGGCTCCATTCATATGCATGTGGATATCCAGTTGTAAAGACAATTCCTTCCCTGTTTAATTATCTTGGCACCCTGTCCAAAGTTATATCTTTATTGAAGAACTTACCAAGTTTTGTCTCATTTTGTGGTAAAGTGGATAGATCTTCCTCTCTCATTGGAGGACAGGGAACATGTTTTGTTTTTTTGCAATGAGAAGACGTGAAAAGCACATAACAGAGGCTCTGATCATGGATATTTCTTTCCATCTTTTGAGTCTCCCTACAGCACCTAGCATGGTACTTGGCACACAACAGTTACCATAAATGTTCTTTAATTACAGAGTGGGCTTGGGCATGCACCACCCACCCACCCACCACAAAATGTCGATTCCCAAAGCTCTGATTGGCTGGGAAATCCAGAACAACTTTCAGGTGTTTCCAAATGAAGGCTCAATGGTCAGGCAAGGTGGCTCACACCTGTAATCCCAGAACTTTGGGAGGCTAGGGGTGGTGCGGATCATGAGGTCGGAGTTCAAGACAGCCTGGCAACCATGGCCAATATAATAAAACCTCATCTCTACTGAAAATACAAAAATTAGCTGGAACGGTGGCAGGCATCTATAATCCCAGCTACTCAGAGGCTGGGGCAGGAGAATCGCTTGAACCTGGGAGGCAGAGGTTGCAGTGAGCTGAAATCATGCCACTGCACTCCAGCCTGGGTGACAGAGTGAGACTCTGTCTCAAAAAACAAAACAAAAAAAAAAACAACATCAGAAAACCCATTTAGCTCAGTTTAATAACTGGGAATTCTTCAAAAAAGATATAAACAAATGGCGAATAGGAACATGAGAAGATGCTGATATGGTCTGGGATATAGTGATAGGGGCTGATCCCGCATAAATGATGTGGAGCCACCTGCTCTAGTGATCATAAGTGAGTTCTAATGAGATCTAATTGTTGGAAAGAGCCTGACACCTCCCCCTCTCTGTATTTCTCCCTCTCTCACCATGTGACACACTGACACCTCTACCCCTCACCGTAATTAAAAACTTCCTGAGATTCTAGCCAAAAACAGATGCTGGTGCCATGCTTCTTGTACCGCCTACAAAACTATGAGCCGAGTAAACCTTTTCTCATTATGAATTACCCAGTCTGAAATATTCCTCTTTAACAACACAAAACACACTAAGACAGATGCACAATTTCACAAGTCATTAGAGAAGTGTTAATTAAAACCACAGTGAGGTACCACGACACACCTACTAGGATGGCTAAAATAAAAAAGATAGTCTGGCCAGCACAGTGGCTCACACCTGTAATCCTAGCACTTTGGGAGGCTGAGGCAGGTGGATCATCTGAGGTCAGGAGTTCAAGACCAGCCTGGCCAACATGGTGAAACCCCATCTCTACTAAAAATACAAAAATTAGCTGGGCGTGTGGCGTGAGCCTGTAATCTCAGCTACCCGGAGACTGAGGCAGAAGAATCACTGGAACCTGGGAGGCAGAGGCTGCAGTGAGCTAAGATTGCACCACTGCACTCCAGCCTGGAGTTTATGTGAAATGTGTGGAATAAGCTGATCCATAGAGACAAAATGGAGGTTAGCAGCTGCCAGGGGAGGGGAGAATGGAGAGAGATGGGCAATGGGTATAAGGTTTCTTTTTGAGTTGATCAGAATATTCTAAAATCAGAAGTGGTGGTGGTTGCACAATTTTGTAAACATATTAAGGGATAAATTTTATGGTACATGAATTATACCTTAATAATTTTTTTTAAGTCATAACTAGCTCACTGCAAAAGCACAGAAAACAAACCAGGGAGAGGACTGCACTCTGAAGTCATCATACTGAAGAAGAGAAATCAGAAGTTACAAGCAAGAACAAGGCAATCATATAAAAGCAAACCAAAGGTGTGGCCAAGTAGCAACTAAATAAACATGCTCAAACATCCTACCCACCCAAGTGACACAACAAGAGCCAAACCCATGGAAGGAAAGTGATAGGAAACTTGGAATGGAAATTTACATCCTATGAGTAAAACAAGATTCACTCTCAAAGACTGAAGGTATAAGAATTTTTTTGTAAGAGATATTATAAAGGACAATGTTCTTGGTTTCTTACTTTAGATACATAGTTTTGCCTGAAGCAAAATGGTCTGCAAATAGAACACTACAAAAAATAAAAATATACTATATAAAGATATATGTGGTGCAGTCTTTAGCAAACAGAAGCACAATAAATACTTGTTTAATGACTGAATGAATGTAATTCCAGTTTTTTCTTGCTGAATCACAAGAATGCATGAGTCTCAAGGCTTTTAACTTAAACAAAAAGTAACTATCTGGAGTTAAAAGTTTACAGCTGAAGACTTCTA